AAATAGACTGAGCCAGAATTAGTTGACCTGTATGAAGTAAACCACTCCCTGTTAGGTGTTATGTGATAAGAGCACCCTGAATCAAGAATCCATACATCCGTGAACTGAGTTGATGAAACTGAGAGCATATCGCCATCACTGCAATCTGAATTTTCATTTTGCACCACATTTACAGACTTCGATGAAGTATCACCTTTCTCCCCATTCTGTTTCTTCAGCTTTGGACAATCTCGCTTCATATGACCTGGCTCCTTGCACTTGTAGCAATGAATTTCTTTTTTGCCTCTAGACTTCGATCTGGAATTTCGCCTTCTAGATCCCTTCTTCTCTTTCATTCTTTCACGATCCTGCTTACTCTTCACATATAAACTGTCACCGTGAGAGCTTCCCCCTGCATTCTGCTTCCGCTGGTTGCGAGCCAACAACACTGCAGTAATCTCATCCACTTTGATAGTTTCTTTCTCATATGTCAGAGTAGTCACCAGGTGTTCATAGCCCCCAGGTGTTCATAGGAAGAGGGCAATGAACACAATAAAATCATCGCTCGATATTCATCCTCAATACTCACATCAAGTCGTGATAGGTCTGTGATTATTTGATTGAAGTCATTAACATGTTGCGCCAGATCAGAATCTTCCTGCATCTTCAGCCCATACAACTTTTGTTTCAGATACAACTTATTCGTCAGAGATTTAGCCATAAATTGAGTTTCCAATTTCTTCCAAATTTCTCCTGGAGATTTTAAATTCATCACGTGATACATAACCTCATCTGCTAGGCATAGTCGTATCGTCGATGCCGCTCGCTGCTGCAATTCTTCTCAATCTTCATCTTCCATGACATCTGGTTTTACTGCCCGCAAAGCCTTCAAGATCCCCTGTTGTGCCAACAGATCTTTCACCCTCGTTTGCCACAATCCGAAGTTATCAGTTCCTTCGAACTTCACCACCTCAAATTTTGCACCAGAAAAAGTCATCTGAAAATTAAACCTGCAACGAAACTTTCTGCAAAAAATTTCTCAGCAAAAAATTCTTGCTTAGAACCTCCTTTTTTTTGAAAAGAGAAAAAAAATGAAATATATTCTTAATTAAACTTCCTTAATCAAGACTCCCTTAATTAAAATATTAACTTTAATTAAAAAATTTCAAAAAAAAAAAAACTTTCCTTCTTTCTCCGGAACCTCTAGCCTCTCTCCGCTGAATGAAATTAGATGCTGATCGCGATCTTCCAATTCTGCCTCGAGCTTTCCGATTCCAATTTCCAATTCCGCTCCAACAGAATTTTTAGAATTTAATTTGGAACCTATATTCCAGGCAAGAAAATTCTCATGGAAACCTTCCTTCTTGCTCTCCGCAACAACAGTAAAGGCAATTTTGCAATTCAAGCGAAATTTGTGAGGGAATATTCCTCTCCAGCAAAGAATCAAATTTGGAAGCCTTCCCTTTCAATTTTCGGATTCCTCCTATTTCCTGCGCCTTCTGTTTCCTCCACCTGCAACCCTTGATTAAAACTTTCCTTCTGGAGCTTAATTAAGGAATTTCCTTAGTTAAACTTTGCTCTATTAGCTTTTCCCAGTAACAAATAATTTCCTTCTTAATTAACTCCACAAGAAATTCCTTCTTAATTAACACCTTAATTAACACCGCAGGAATAATTAACACCGCAAGAAATTCTTTCCTGAATCTGATCTTCTCAGCGGACAGCCAGCAGCGCAGGAATATTCCTTCTAGCATAAACGAATCTACTTTTCTCTCGACGTTCCTCTGTTTCCCGCGAAATTTGGTGCTCCTCGCGTGCCTCGATCCTTCTAAACACGCGAACGCCTTCTTCACAGAACGCCGGCCTCCGTACAGAACGCCCGCCAACCTTGTTGAAAGCCGTGATTCACAACCTCCAGTTAGCCGATTCGCAGATCTAGGCCAGATCCGAAAACCCCTTCACGTGAAACTTCTACCCTTCGCGCGAAAACCTGCGTCCTGTAAGATCCGCCATTCTCAAATCTCGCTTGTTGGCCAAACTTCCCTCGCGGAACTCCTCTGGCGCGCCGCCAAATCTTCTTCCTCGCGCCGACGAAATTTCTTCCTTGCCCTCGAACCTTGGCTCTGATACCACTTGTTAAGAAAATTAGGGCGAAGAAAAAACAGTAACGACACAAATCCAGAAGAACACAGAGATTTAACGAGGTTCGTCAAAGATGCCTACATCCTCGGGAGCAGAGCGGCAAGTTCCTTTCAATATTCAAAAAAGATGTTACAGAATAGAGAGATACCTCATGGGGTTACTAAAATGCCTATTTATAACCCCAGGAAGAAACCTAGGCACAATACGTAATTACAACATTACCCCTGTACCATACCGCGGGGCTTTACCCCCGCACCCCAACCCACGTAACTTTTCAATTTGGACAGATTCTTCCGCTCCGCTTCGATCCAGCGTTTGTCCATATATGGTATATGAGTCATACCATAACAATAACAAAACACCGACAATGACACCAATATCATCTGATCGGTGATAAGGATATATGGGACGTATCAGCACTCGAAAGCGATAAGCTCCACGAGGGGTGCGTAAACGATCGTTCCACACCCAAATGATAAAGTTAACACTTGACAACGACAAGCTCCACGAGAGATGTCTAAAGATCGTCAAAGGCCTATAGGTAGTATTGGCACTTGACTGCAAAAAGCTCCGCGAGGGGTGTATAAATGATTGTCTTGCACCCAAATTATACAGTTAGCATCTGACAACTACAAGCTCAGCGAGGGATGTCTAACGATTGTTAGAGGTCTATGGGACGTATCGACACCCAACAGTGACAAGCTTCGCGAAAGATGCATAAACGATCGTCCAGCATCCAAATTATAATATTAGCATCCGACAGCGACAAGCTCCGCAGAGTGTACAACTCTAACACTCTCCTTTGGGACGAGCAAACAAAGACTTTCCTCTGGGATGAGCAAACAAAGACTCCCCATCGTGACGAGCATACAAAGACTCTCCTCTAGAACGAGCAAAACAAAGACTCTCCTCCAGGATGAGTAAACAAAGGACCATCTCTAAAATCATTCACTCGACCAATAAAATTCTAAAAACATCCACTCATCAAGAAAAAAACTAAAGACTTATAAAATTTTGCGTACTTATGAGTTTTTCATACTTTTTTCGCACCTTTGCCTCCAAGAAATAAAAAAAACACGGGGTATTTATGTATAGCCAGAAAATGATGCTAAGTCTTGCCATAACAAAACTAATTCGCACAAGCAAAAGACCAGGTCCCCTCTGGCATTCCCCTAGCATGTGATACTTGGTTGGCCCTCAGTCGATTGGCCATAAGTTTACTCTCTTCGGCTGGCCTCAATCGATCAACCGCCTCACTTTAGTTGCCCATCAGTCGCTCGATCATCAAGCATCAGGCGACCAGCCTCATTCAACCGGCCAACTCACTTTATTTTAGCTATCTGACATCTCCACAGTCGGACATCTCCCCTTCGGCAAGCATCCTTACCAACAAGTTTCAAATAGCTAGTCTCATTTAGTCAGGCAAAACAACAAATGATCATCTCTCTAGCAAACCGATCCTCGGTCGGTCGGCTAGATTCTTCAACCAACTGATCATCTTAAGCATCAGACGACACCCATCTGAACAACCATGAACTAAAAAGGATTTTGTGCGCTAAATAATGTTTACTTTTAATAATGGTGTTAGTTTCATTATTTTGAAGTACCATAACTACTTTTATTACACATGAGCCGTTATGTCATTCAAATGTAATTCTAATGAAAATGATGTCTTATGTTGAATCTTCTCAATCAGCTATAATATACATGAATTTCAAATCAAAGTCTATAGCTACCAATGCATTTTTTTATAAAGTATGATTGTTCTTCTTTTAAATTCAAATTCGTGCTCTTTAGAACCTAGCTTTAACATATGTTCCATAAAAAATGCCAACACAATATTATTTTCTCATAAATTATATTGGGAAGAGGACTAAAGTAAGAGAACACTTTAAAACTTGAGATCTATTATACCAAAGAAAAAAAGGGCATGAACCTATTATCTAATTGTATTCCAAAAAGAGTTAGTAGCAATAGTGACAAAATCTTTTCATGTCATAATTCTTCTATAGGTTTTAATCTAGCATTAAATTGCTTATTGGCAATATTTTCATATCATTGAAAGTTTAATTAAATGATAGATTACGAATATTGTTCATTAGTGTATATAGTAACAAGACAATTTGTTCTTCAATCCTTACATTGACTATGTTTACAAATAACCTTCATGTGTGAATGTGGTTTCATAACCTTAAGAAAAGCTTCCTCATTTGCTTCATATTAATGCAATCAAAATCTAGGCCAAATTAGAGTTTATTCAAATATGTTTGATGTTATAATTCCGCTCAAGCTAGTACTTTCATCTTTCTTATCAAATCTAATACAATAATGTTAGCAATAAATCCACGAAAAACAGATTGATTTAGGGTTTGACCCTACTTTATCCTCAAACTCATCCAAATTATATGATCAATCTTCATCTACTCGCAAAAACCCCACCATCTTGGTAGCATATGTAAGAAAAAGTTCATATATATATATATATATATATCTGAATAAATTGCCATATACAATTGAATCTAAGATGTCTTTAAATATTTATATTAAAACTCAACATGATACTTATTAAAACCCTTATTCTGAACTTGCATTCTCCCATGGCTTTCTTATCCCTCCTAATGAAATGGGATTACTACAAGCATAACCATTTAGGATCAATCAAGAAATGAAGCTCAAGCATGCCGACATTAATACAAGTTCAGAGTAAAAGTATTTGATATAGTAACAGATGACCAAAATGAAAAAAACTTATTACCTTTCCTATTGATTTCGACATACATTTAAACATTCACTTATGTCAACAATAATTAAGATCCCAATCCTTTAAAAATCAAATAAAAAAAAATGAATCATAAAAAAAAAACCCATACCCTTGAAATAAGCCTGAAGGCAAATGGAAGGTGACCTCAATATCTCCAAAAATGAGAGAATATTGTGTACGGATTCCATGTATATCATTGATGTACACTGATGCACAACATTGTTGTACACGGACTACGTGCGATAATAATTATTTTTCAAAAAAAAAAAGAAAAAAAAACTCCATATAATTTAAATTAAAAGGGAAAAGGAGGTGTCAAAGTTAGTGAATGTTCATAGTTGATAGGTTTAAATGATTTCCGGGGTGATCTTGGCTAAAACAGAAGAAGTTGACATGTTCGGTGAAGATTGAGTCAAGCTATAATTGTAAATTTGTTGCCATGGAGAGCTCAACAAAAGGATATCGATGACATGAGTGAGTGTGGAGAATTATGCAGTCCTACCTCCACACACCCCAACCTTGCTTCGAAGAAAACCAGTGGCAAAATGCGAGGCTTGGCGAAAATCCAACATTACGCTTCTTCGCAAAATTCTCAGCTACGTTCATGTTGGTTTTTGCTGGATTTTGGAGTGTTTTGACTTCCTGCAAAAGTAGAGAGTTGTGAATTTAACATTGTATTTACCCTTCACTATGTTAAACAACAAAACTTTTAGAAAAATTGTATTTCATATATAGTACAACCAAAAGACCTCCTAAATATTTCAGTTTTGGCTAATTTTCCCAAAAACTTTTGGGAGAAATTTTTTTATGAAACTCAAGAATGTATACTAAACGCATTTTAATAGAATTTCATTATAACTTCATAAAAATTTGCCAAAGTTTACTAGAAGTCTATCACTAATAGCCCATAAAATTAATGTATGTTGTAAAATTGAATCACAAATGAATAATTTATTTTTAAATATTATTTATAATGGAAAAAAAATAATGATAGCAATGACGAAAATGAAATGCTAATACAACAAATCTAAGATTGTTAAACTAAGTATTAAAACCTCTATTTAAAAAGTTTTACTTCTATTTTCTTGCATGAAAATTGTACGTTCAACCACATGTAGCTTAGGCATGACCCATAAATCCATTAGGATTATCAAATTATCAACTCAATGAATCTTGAAGAAGATATGACCCCATCAATCTATCTATCATGAATACTCGTACTCGCGAGCTAGCTAATGATATGAGCCTCCCCAATAACCAACTCGGGCACATCGAAAAACTAAGTTAACAACTTGTGAACTCACAATTTAGCTTTGGGCTTGACTTTTCATGCAACTACTAGATGCACTACAACATTATATACTTTAAATATTCTACTATGTGCTTCAACATACTTTTTTTTATTATTTATTATTTTAAACTATATTTTATTATGAATTACACCCCAAAAATTGATATCCTATTTGTTCACCATCACAAAAAAAATCATTAATTAATAATTAATAAATTTCCATCCAAAAATCCCCCCATACAAGCAAAATTTGAATAAATTCAATTCCCCCCCTGCCGAAACAGAACGGAAACTCTAATCTCACCGGCGGCGGCTACTGCTACTCCGGCTACTAGCGCGGGCGCTATCTTCTTCCTCCTCGATCTCATCCGCGTACTGACCTGCGATACTGAAGCATGACATCCCCCGAGCTCTCTTCTGCTTTCCTCTCGAACTCCCCTCCTCGTTTGTCGCTTCAGCCTCCTTAGCATCCATCGCCGGAATCTCCGACCGCCACTTCTTCAACTTCTTCTCCAACGCCACCCTCTCCTTCTCCCCCATCCCGCCCACCGACCCGTTTCTATCCAACACCACCTCGCCCTGCTGCGGCGGCAAGAACGAAGCTTTATTGACTTTTTTAGCAGGCTTGGTCATAAGGTCGTGGTAAGCAAAAGCAGAAGCGCCGAGATCGGCGTAGATGGGGAGACTTCGGACATAAGCGTCGATGAGAGCGACGCCGATGTTGAGAATGCCTTGCGGGCGGAGAGAGGCGGGACGGCGGATTTGCAGGGCGACGAAGCTGGTGGCAGGGGAGGGGCGGAGAGTGCTGAGAATAGCGCGAGAGGTGCCGAGCAAAGTGTCGCGTCCGAGAAGATAGCGTGGGCGCGAGGCGTAGATGTCGACATGGATGGCGGAGGTGTCGGAGCGGAGAGTGGAGTCGTCGATTCGGAAGACGAACTTGTCGTTCCAGGTGGGATCGGTGTGGCCGACAGCGTCAAGGCGGGTGCGGAGACGGTGGTCGGGGTGGAGCCAAGCGACGGCGTAGGTGCGCATGGATCGGGAAGAAGGGAAGAGGTCTTGAGCGGAAATGAGGGTGAATTCGAGGAGGTGGAAGTTGAAGGGGAACGGCGGCGGGGGAGGGGGGAGACCGCCG